TGTAAGCTTTTGTTTAATTGTTTCACATCTACTGTAAACATTATAATTGATTATAGGAAACTATATCAAATGTTGCCCCCTACAGATGGGGTAATTATTGATCACTGGGGTAATTCCTGATCATTGTCATTTCTTCTTATAAATAGTATATATATATTTTTTTCGAATGGCAGGCACTGAACTTTATTTCTTTCGCCTTAGAAGATACCAGAGGTGTTACTCATTTCGAGTTACCCAGTGGGCACCTGTGAACCAAAGTCACAGAGGCGAGTAACATTGCCCACGCCACACTGCCACAAACCGGTTCATAGGGTGGGCCACATTCACACATCACATACAACAGAGGACAACACAAGAGAGAGAGAGAAACATCCATGCCCAGACCTGGATTCGAACCCGCGGCCATTGGCTTTGTAGTCGGGCACGCTAACAGCTCGGCCACCTATAAATAGTATATAAAATAGCTAATAAATAGCTAATTGTCTGTTCTTAAATAATAGTTCATATTTTTTAAGTGGAACAACTATAAAATATATTTTAACTGTCTACCCAAAATTTGTTTTTAACTGTATACAAGACTGTATTCTGATTTGCACCATTTCTGGTTTGTCTTACCTTGCATCTATCTTAATTTTATGTGTGTACATTGTTAGAATAATTTTTAAGTTTATAAATTAGCCTAGTATAATTATGGTGAGAAATTATAAGCCTAAAAAGGATATTAAGCTACTAGAAAGCAAAATTAGTGAATTTCTTATAATGATTGAAAATGAAAATTTCAGTGTGAGAGCTGCTGCCGGAGCTGTTGACATGCCTTACTTAACTTCACACTTTCCCTTAATGAAGTTAAAAAGTCCAGCAAAAGTAACCCATGTGGGAACTCTCTTATATTTCAGCCGAACATGAGAATGAGATGGCTGATTGCCTACCTAAAATGTATGGCACGATACAAAGATTTTTGAAAATTTAAAGTGTTAATCTTTCTTCTTGCTTTTAAATAAATCATTTTATTATCTGCTTAAATATATCTTTTTGGTTTATTTGTTTGATCTTTATGTCTTATTTGTTAATTACCATTATATAATTATTTTTAAACAGCCCCTTTACAACAAAAACTGGTGATCAGTAATTACCCCAGAGGTGATCAGGAATTACCCCAGAAATGATCAAGACCAGGGCTAATTCCTGATCACTAAAAATTTAAAATCTTTTAAATTCTAATTAGGATTTCAAACAAAAGAAGGTGGCATAGGACTCATCTCATATAGCCTCAAACTTCCAGTAAATATTAAAATTCTATTTTGATTACTTTTCTCACAAAATGGATGTTTGCATTTTTTGATCAGGAATTACCCCAGGTCACCCTACCTTCTTTATTTCCCCCCTTTTATTTAATATTTTAATAAGCACGAGTATGTATTATTTACATTATTCAGGATTTTTCTAATCCTGGCTATAAATGTCCTATTGTATGTTTCAATAAATTTATTTACTCTAATTAGCACTGAAGCAAATCAAAATTAAATTTTAAAAGTATTTAATAACCTACGTTTTCTTTTATTTACTTCTTACAATATATTTAGTATGACTTTCAAATTTGGTGTTTTTTTTTATAACTAAATAAATGTGGCTTAAATAAAATGAGTTGTTACTGATATAGATATCAGTGTAGCTACCTGTTTCATGTTTTAAAAAAAGTTTTATTGGTAGGAGCAGTTGTATACTAGCTATTTATTTATCTAAAGTTTAATTTTAAATTCTTAATCTATTAAAGTAAAAACATAATTAAAAAAATTTTTTTTTTTTGCTTTTTAGACGTGCTCATTTGAAAGAATGTTTTGAGGCTCTGAAAAAGCAGCTTCCAAATATGGATGAAAGAAAGACTTCAAATCTGAGTATTTTACGGGGTGCCCTAAGGTTTATTCAGGTACTGAATTTTTCCCATTTGTATATGTATGTTTTTTATACTTTAAAACATGTGTAAAGCATTTCTACACTCTCTCTGCTTTTTGATAATAAAAAAAGGCTCTTGCTTTATTTCCACAGTAGTAGTGATTTATGAAATAGGAAAAAAAGTTCATAAAGTGACTCCTGTACTTCATATTTTATGAAGCTCTCCACCCCTGCTTGTCTTTCACAGCAATGAAGAGGCACGAACCCTTTTTGGTATTTTCAGCTATGGGCTACAAGTCTACTTTAACCCTTTCGCGACGGGAAGCGCAAACACGCACTTATCGCAAAGGCCGTCAGTCTCTCTCGCGAGTGTCTGTCCAGGGTTTTTTGCTGTTAAGCCTAAATCCATGAAATTACCGAAATATCAACGCAATGTTTGATAATGTTCTCTAGAGTATTTAAATGGCATATGCTTTATATATATTTCTATAGATATTATTTACTTAAGTTATTTCTTGTTTAAGTATATATTTTACACATTTTATTTTCATTATGTACTTACCCTTTAATAACTTTTAACGTTATATATCTGAAAACTAAATATATGACTTAAAATCCTTTTTTCTTATGAAAAATTTGAAAACACTAACATTGCACTAAAAACTGGACCGCGAATCGAAATACCCAACGCTGTAGCGAAAAGAAGCAACCTCCCCTGATTACTGTAAACAAATACCATGTGCGAATTGAAAGACTCGTCATAAAACATTTATTTCTCCATTCCTTTCTCCTAAAAACCACATGTATGTGAGTCACACTACTCTCATTTTGAGTAGAAGGTCAAATCTACATGTATCTGAAACCATATGGACATCTTCTGGCAGAAATTTTATTTTTTGAAACGTTCCAGGACACTGGCACAAATGAGTGACGGCCGGGTGTGAATGAGAAAAAGCTCTGGCACACCAGTGTGTTGGCCGGAAAGTGAGTGCTTTTCTTGCTGGCACGTATATGTGACAGTAGGCCAGAAAGGGTTAAATATGCTACTTAAAATTGCTTTAGAGAGTCCAAAAAAAAATGTACAATAAATGTGTGCAGAGCAGACTAGCAATTTCACACTCCAATTTAAAAACATTGTCGTCAACTTTAGAATATCTTGACATAGTATAAAAGCCAAAAAGCAGTTCATAAACTAATATTATATAAACTATTTTATAAATAAAACGATAGGCAAAAAAAAATGAACACACATTATAAAAAGAAGTTAGTTGACTTTTTTATGATGCAGTTACTTAGTTCGAGCTTTTTTTTCAGCACCCTGTGTTGCACTACAAGATTTTTTTATGCTTTATAAAACAAATATAAGGACATAATTATAAAAAACTCTCTGAAAGTTTTAAAACAGATTTCTATCTTGACCTATCTGATGCCCTTGTTTTTCAGTTATTGATTTTGAGTATTTGAAGATCTTGTTTGAAGTAATCAATATATCGGAATTTTGGTCTTCCTCTGGCTTGTACACTATTTAATCACAAAATTTTGAACCAATAAGCTTTAAATGTCAATTTTAACTTTAAATATGGGGAGCTGCTTCCAATGACAAACTCGCTTTAAAAGTTATTCAATCTGCTGTTAAGGATTGCAATTATAACAATTTTTTCTGTATTTATAAGATATTGCAGGCAATAGCAAATTCACAGCAGGGATTTTTTTTTCCAAAAATCTCTGTCTTAGCTAAAAATTAAAGCTACACTTGTTAGCTACACAATATTAAAGCTGCAGTTATTTTACCGTTTCTTATTTTTATTGTTCAAATAAAAGTTCAATGCATAGGAAATTTTTTGTGTTTCTAAACTACAGTTTTTTTTAATGAAGTTTATAAGTTATAAAGATAACTTGAAAATGGGTCTAAATGATGTCCTTTGCCAATTGTGAATGCTTTTTTTTCTTCTGCAAGCCATTAGTTTGTTCCATGCAACATGCTGAAAAGTAATCAGAATTTTTAAAATTAAAGATTAAGAAAACATTTATCCTCTTATTTTTTTTAGCCTTGTTATATTTTTGAAGTTAAGGAAATAAATGACAATTTTTTGAAAATTATATGCGAAGCTATGTTTATTTATGCTATTTACAAAATAGGGACTCTGTAGTAGTTCCATAAATTTTTTACTTGGAAGATGTATCTAAATTTATTTTTATATTTAAATTTCTAATTTATGGTTAGCACAACTTATTAATTTTTTCTGTTTTTGAAACTGAAGTGGAGAATCACTTCTTAGGACACTTTAAAAAAGCAAAAGAAACATATTTAGTTTCCAATATATTTTTTTTCTAAATTTTAAGTGCTGTTGAGAAAAATTTATTTTTTGTTTGAAGGAGGGTGAGCTTAACAAAAATAAATACGTTCAAGGAAGAGAGAGAGGAATTTTTTCTAATCAATATTTCTTAAAAATTCCACTATGTAAATATTGGATTTTTTTTACATATATATATATATTTACTTCACCTGTTTATTAGAATTATATTTTCGGTATTTGTAATCAATTAAACTAAGAGTATGATTGTTTGTAGTGTTTTCATTGGTTTAATAATTAAAGAAAGCTTAAAAAACTCATAAAAATTCGGTTTTGTCTTATTTGTATATTGTTTTTATAGACTCTCAAACGCAAGGAGCGGGAATATGAGCACGATATGGAAAGATTGGCACGAGAAAAAATAGCATTCCAACAAAGATTATCGACATTGAAGAAAGAGTTGGCATCGCATTTGGATCACATTGATGTGAATAACTATCCTATTCCAGAGGATGATAATGAAACCACTACAACTGCATCTGGTGAATTTTCCCTATATTTAATTGTGATTTTTTTTAAGTTTTTAAAAAATAACATTCTAATTTTTTAACAACACTTCACTGAAACATTTAATAATTTTTCATAACCATTGACAAATTAATTGGCATTCTTGTCCTCATAGTTCCAAAGCAATTACTAACAAACAATAACAAAGCACAAAAAAAATTAATCTTTAACTTAAAAATATAAAGTAAATATTTAAGCAGTCAAGATCTATGTGTAACAGAAAAGTCCATTTTGATGAATATTCAATTTAAAATTAGTTATGACTTAATTTGTACCATAGCAAAATTATTGTGAGTGTATAAGAGAAAATAAAGAAATTAAATGATATGTTGAACAAGAAAAGATGAATCAGAAACAATTAATGATAAAAACAATGAGTGACAAAAACTACTTACTACTGATAATGTGTGATCGACATATTATTTGTACAGTCAAGATTTTGGTTCTTCTCCCCCCCCCCCCAAAAAAAAAAAAATNACACAACAAAAAAAAAAAAAAAAATTAAAATAAATACCTTTAAACATCCGAACAAAAAGGATCAAACAATGAAAGTTTCAACCAGGGCTCTGCTTTTGCGATTTTGTGCAAGTAATTTCTGTTATTGCAAAAAACTTTTTCAAGGAGTTTTTAAATTGTAAATAGATACAAGATTATGCTCAACACTGTAAAATTATAATTAAAAAATTTAATTTTCAAAAATAAACAGTAATTGCTGCTGCTAAATTAGAGATGCAACATGCAAATATTTGGTATTTAGCCTATACCGTTAAACACAGAATATTCATTTCGGACGAATAAAGGAAGAGGCATCTGCCGAAGACAAAACTTAGTTCGTTAATGCCTGTCTTTCTCCTCCCCCCCCCCGGGAAGGGTTTATTCGATTAAAAAAACAATAGTGAAAATAAACAAATTTGTGAAGGGTCCGATTAAAAGATAAATTTTTTTGTGAAAGGTCCGTTAACGAACCCAAATTTCTTCTAAGCAGACCCCTGTTGATGTATATTAAATTTTATATTTTGATGCTTTTAAGAGTTTATTAATAAGTTTTTTGTAAGGCAATGTTATTATCAACCTATTATTGTAATTACATATAGAGTTTGTTACTTTGAAAATTTGGGATATTTAAGACAATGTTTTCTCTTGGGGAGTTTCTGGTTAATGTAAGCTCTTTTTAATTTACTATACGAGTCCCTTGCTTTTATTTTAAATAGAATGTGGTGCCCTAAGTGATTTTGATGACAGTGAACCTCAAGAGGCTCCTCCTATGCCCTCTGCTGTGACCTCAGATTACACAAGTTCATCCTCATCGTCAACTACAAGTACCGTTCTTGTTGGACCTCATACAACCTCAGCTTCTTCTGCTACACCTTTGGGTAAATTCCCCGACCCAACACTATATTTGCATGCTTATACAATTTATTTATAGTGCATGCATGTAGTATATGTGTGCAAAATGTATTTGCTCATGGTTTTGAACCTTTATAAAGTCCATTTAAAAAAGATAAAATATGCACGCTAATATTTCAATTTTTTTTTTAATGAGAAAAAAATCTCCCAATATAGTAAAAAAATAATATAAAATTGAATTCATAAATATTAATTTAGTAAGATAGTATAATTTATCCTGAATTTTGTTATATTTCACAAACTCAGAAATGTATTCAGTATAAAACTGTATGTGAGTAGAATTTGTTCAAAAGTTCTTGATTGGATTACTTCAAAGGCTCCAGATAGAATTCATTTTTATCTAATTACTCATTTAAGCCCTCTCTGAAATTGTGTTCATTTAGATTTTATCCTGTTCACAATGCTTTAAATTGAAAACGCATCTAAGTATATGAAAGGTGAAAGCTTGTTGCATGTACACTACGTTTTTATGAGCTTGAATTTAAAATTACATTGGTATAAGTGTACTTAAACCTATGTGGGTATCGCATCATTGATTTTTAAACGTTATTTTCAAATGCATAGATCTCGAGCTGTATTGAATTTTTATAAAAAATGATAAAATGCCCAAATCATGTTTATTTATTGATGATGGGGTTATGAATAGGTTTCATTGATTTGATACTATTCTAATTATGCAGTTTAGTTTATTATCTATTTGATTCATGTTGCAAAGCATGCATCAAATTTCTCCTGGAAGTTCTGTTAAAACTTTTAACAAACTTTTTTCTCCATATAAAGATTGTTAAAAATTTGTTGTGTTTTTGTGAAGTAAGTATTTGAAGCATCTGAAGTTGTTAATTATGTTGCTGTTTGTATTTAAAAAAAATTAATTTAAATTTAAAAGTACTTTTTTAGTTATGTGCTAAAATATCTTATCAGATATTATTTATGTAAAATAAATAATTTTCATTGATTAATTTCCCATTTATTTGTACCGTATTATTACAAATAATTTAATTTTTAGAGTAGATTTTTAAATTAATTTTTTTAATAAAATAAAAGATTTAGATACATTTAAAGGAATGTATCTCTAATTTTAATTGACTTCATTAATTGGTAAATTTTTACGTTATTTACATGGCACTAGAGATGCTCAATAGGTTATTGGCGTTGGTCTAGAAAACATCCCCAAGAATGATCCTAAAACATGCCATCACAATTTTGATCCTTTGCAGAAGGGGTCTTAATTGTGAGGTTACTTCCTCAATTTTGAAACAGATTTGAAGGAGACAGAATTTTCCCCTGTACCTACGGCTCAGCGACCTACCACAGGACTTATAATTCCACAGATTTTACAAGCGTGTATACCGTATGTACTCGGTGGGTCTTTGCGGAGTGGATGATCAAAACCCGAATCAGAGGCTCGTCCAGGCCTGAAAGGAGATATATTATAAATTAGTTGAATATTAACTAGAAATGTCAATTTTATTTAAGGTTTTTTGAATAACAAATTAATAGACAAAAGTTTTGGTTTTAATGCTGGCAAAACAGAATGGCAAAGTAACCCATATTAAGTCCAAAAATGAGGCTTACAGTTTATTAACAATCTGAGATTGCCTAATTAAGTAAGTAAGTTGTTAAACAAATATTTGTTTTGATATTTTCTTTCAATCTTTTTTCGAGTTAATAAGTTTTTAGAAAATAGTTTGATAGAACTAGAATAAAGCTATTTAGAACTAGCTCTTACACAAATCAAATGTGCAATGTGCTTGTTGATTTCTATTCATAGTGATAATTTTATAAACTTTCTAATTGTCTCAACAAGGGTATGAATAATATTTTTAAAAAAATTAATATGCTTTGTAAGTTCTTATAATAATTAAATATTTTTTTCAATGCTGCATATTTTCAGATTAATAATTAGAGGACATGTGTATTAATTATACATTCCAAAATTAGTGATAATTTTTTTTTGCATTATATAAATAGCCTCTCAGACTTGTATCTTATCTATAACATATTTCAGTGTTTCCTCCCATACCTTATTTGATATATGTGTTTATTTTATTCTTTTATAGCTTTATCAAAACAAGCTATCTCAGGTGCTCAAATATCAATTCCCCATAAGGAGGTGGCAGCTCCCTCAAGCCTTTATTTGCCAACTCTGGAATCTGCAATGACTGTTGAGAGTAAGGCACCAATGATTTCTACAGTGCCCTCCTCTCTAGCTCAGCTATCTAATGAAAGCCCTGCTCAAACAGCCAGAGTAAGCACTTCGGAAAGCATTCTCTTTTGTTATTATATAATTCGCTGTTGACAGAAAATAAAGCAGGACTTGAGGAAATACATGTTGGACAAATGAGATCTGTATCCTATTTTAAAGGCTGCTCAAAGCTTTCAGAAAAAAAATGCAGGCTTAGTCTTAAATCCAAGGATTTATAAAATTAAGATAATAGGTAGTTGGAACTTGTGGTTAAAAGTTTTTTTTTTTAGAAACTTTTGACAAAACTACATAAAAAAAGTATATTTTTTCAGGAATAACTTTTTTGAGAGCAATCATAACATATCTCAAGGACTTTTTTGGAAAAGTTGTGGAAGTCTATTTCCTGAGTCATACCCATTTGTTTGATAAGGATCTATAGCATCTATTTGAAAACTAGTNGGTTGCTACACGAATGTAGAAACCTTTGACCGCTATGGGACTGTGCAATTTAGGAAAGATTGTGGTGGATGTGGAAGAAGAGATTAGGATATTAGCTTCTGTTTTTAAATTCTGTCATTGGGCTGAATCCATTTATGACTCAATTTTGTTCTGATGCTTTCTTGGTAATTTTTTTCCATTTTGAAAATTTTTTTGAATTTTTGACTTTATAAAATTCTCCAAAAATTAGTTGGTTATAATTTAATAATAATAGATTTAATATTGCACTCTTTTTCTGAAAGCTTTTGTATTCCCTTTCGAAAAAATCTGTGAATTATTTTTTCTCAGCAAACCAACCAATCACAAATTTTTTTACAATCGCTAACAGCAATGTTTGTCGACAAATTGTTGCATTAATGCTAATTTTTTTCTGTTTCATTTTAACCTTTTATAACATATTTTAATTTTAAAAAAAGAGGTTTTTTTAAAAACTAGCTATATATTAATGTTTAATTTTACTCTTTTGTTGGTCAATTTATGATTTTTAATTCAAAATTTTGTACAAAAACATTAAAAAATAAATAAAAAAATCTTGCCAAATTGTCAAAATAAATTATTTTTTTCAAGATGATATGTTAAAAAAATAACATTTTAAATAAAATATTTTATAATATAAACACTTTTCTTGTACACATCCTACACTTTATAAGAAAAAAGAGACAAAAACCTGGAAATTTTAAGAATTTTATCTGGAAAACCTGGAAAAATCAGGGAAATTTGAAATCTGATTTGAGTGGCCACCCTGTAACATATCTCAAGGACTTTTTTGGAAAAGTTGTGGAAGTCTATTTCCTGAGTCGTACCCATTTGTTTTGATTAGGATCTATTTGAAAACTAGTCCTGTTTTGTTAGTTGAATTTTCTTATGCAAATCTGCTAAAAGAAACATTTATACTCGTGTATCAGCAGAGTTGCGATCTAATGATTCCTATTTTTAAATTATCTTCAAATTTTTCCTTTTTTTTTTTTTAAAGTTTAAATTATATAATGAATAAAAATTGATAGCTTAGTATGCAATCGTTTAAAATTTAAAGAATTTGATAATTCGAAGAAGAAAAAAACAAATGAAATACATGATCGTCAAGAAAGTAAATTAACATTTTAAAATTAGTTATGGTATAGAGAATATTTGTATGTAATATTATTTTGTTGCCTTTTTATGGAAGCCGTTCAGAATTTCATTAATAATATTTTCGATGAGAATCAGTGCTTCTCAGTGGCCAAAATTTCTACTTTCTGTTTACATTTGGGGTTTTTATTTACACCTTTTTTAGATAAACACGCAGTCACCCACTGGGAAGCAGGATTATCGAATATGTCATACTGCCCCCTTTTATGTCAGGGTTACATTGAGATTTGCATTCACGTGATTTAAAGGTCACACATCTAGATTCATAGTCATACAATTTTTTAAAAAATTGTGCATCGACTTTATGTTGGTAATATTCTAAGAACATATGTTTCTTACATACGCTTTTTTTCTTACTCAAATTTCTGGTATTTTTTCATTTATTTAATATGTTCTGCTCATAATTCTATTTTAAGTTTTTTAGTTTTTTACCAAACACATCCCTGAGTATTGTTGCATTAAATATTAACAAAAGTGTATGATATTTTCCTTAAAAGATTTTATTATAAATATATTTGATTTTTTTTAAATTAGGTATTTTCTACTGGAAATTTACATGCAATGGCTGGAATCTTTGCAACTCCTCATGGCATGCAAGTTATTTCTCAACCCTCTGGCATAAAAGTGATCACTGCACCAAATTCAATAATGGCTTCCACATCATCTGTTCAACACATTTCAGTGAATCACCATCCTCATAATCAAATTCATGTTTTAACTCCCTCCTCTAGTGCATCCTTTGCTTCGTCCATCGGTGCATCGTCGGCAAAGCCATTTTCAGCCGATTCACTAGTCCAGGTAGCCTCGAGTGCTGCAAAAGGCATTTCTAAGCCTCATCTGGTTTCACCTCTCGCTCTGGTTTCACCTCAAGCGATGGTGGGAATCAGCCATGGTACTTCAGGAAAGTCACTGCCAAACAGTACTCACCTGTCGGATCTAATTACGTCCTCTGCTGTGTCCAACCTGTCTCAAAATTCTGTCAAAGGCAACTCTGTCTTGTCTGGAGGCATGGCTATTGCCATGAAGAACAACTTGCCAAGTAACAGTATCACATCTAGTGGCTCCTCACCGTCTGGTATGATAGCGACACTACACATGAGTAAATCTCACCCACAAGTGATACAGTCATCTCTGGCTTCCAGTATCATTACACAAGGAGGTAAACACATTTTTAAAATTTCATTTGTGTTAAAGTGCAATGTTTTACAGGGCTCAAAATTGACACTTAGCTGCTGGTACAGGGCCACTACAATTTATCCTGGGTGGGTAGCGTTTTTAAAAAATGCTTAAAGGTGCTTATTTTCGTTTTTTTAAAAGCCCTTAAAAGTGTTTTTTTACATTGGGTGTTTTTAAAAAGTGCGTAATTTACCCTTTTTCAAAATGAGATTTTTCCTTTACTATGTTTATTTTTCCTTCGAATTATGCAAAAAGACTTAAGTTCACATTGTTCTATTCAACGTTTTCACAATTAATTCAGCCCCAATCTATCTTGACGTATTGTCGGTCCGTAGCGTATGAAAACGCCATTCATTTTACATGATTCAAAATTTCATGATTTTTAACAATTGTCAAAAACAATGCCAAAAGTTTTATTTTTGACATGACAGTTAAAACAAGATAAAACCGTCAATTGTCTAAAACTTTCCAACCATGCCTAATTATGATATTTTTTGAGTGCTTTAAAAGTGCTTAAAAGGTGCTTATTTTTTGTTGAATAATTTGGCTATGCACCTTGTTGTCTAAAATCACGAAAAATGCTCACCGAGACCAGTAGTTGATCTAAAGGGTTGTTATGTTTTGGTTTTTTGACTCTATCAGTCTTGTGTGTTGGTTTGTTTTATAGTCACAAATAGCATATTTCATCTTAATTGTGAACATTACACTACCTCTGTATTGTAATTTACTTTATTAACTTTTTTAACGAAAAAAAAATTGAGACACATGTAAACAGACTATTGAAAATTAGTAAATAGGGACTAGTTTTAGTTCCTCCCTGTTTACTAAAACTAGTGACTAGAATTTGTTAAATTCTATCCCTGTTTTATGTAAGTGATTTTATTTAATTTAACATGCTATTTTTAATATATTAAGTCTCTTAACAGAATTAATTAGTTGCAGTTTGAAAATTCACCTCAGGCATATTTCGTAATAAGGTAGTTATGTTTTTGCAATTATTTGAGTAATTGTTAGGAAGTTTTTAGTCATGGTTATTTGTTCAAAAATATAATTAATATTTTAATCAACAATTGACTAATAAATACTATAATAGATTGTTCAAAAGGTCTAATTTCCTTTCATATAAAATTCTTTTTTTTATGCATTACCATGGAATGAATAAAGAAAGTGTTTCAAGAAACAAGCACATGTAAGGAGAAATTGGTTACATAGAAATTCCATCTTTCTTTGAAAACAACAAAAAGCTAAGATATAAGCATCAGGAAAATTACAAAAATTTAAAAGAAAAGCATTTTAAAAATTTGTAAAGGAGTTCACCAGGGCTGATTGTGCTCCGGAAAAAATCCTGATTTCCGGATTTTTCGTTAATAGTGATCCGGAAGTTTCCGGAGATCGAAAGTCCAGAAGTTTCAAAAAATCATTGATCACTTAAGTTTCCGGAAATCAAATTTTTAAAGGTGGAACTTAAAAACACAGTTTATTTAATTTGTTTGTAAGGGAGAGCCACAGAGATACTTTATAAGCTTATATTCATGATTAATATTCATTTTTTATCACTAAATAGTTGTTATAATCATAAACTCAAGAAAGAAAGACATATTTGTACATTTTAATTACTTCTCCAGGTCATCATAGGTATGCGTAAATGGTATAGGTATGTGTAAAATTTTAAATATATTTTTAGTAAACTGAGAAATATTGAAGAAGGAAATAAAACCTTGTTTAAATTTTTTTCTAATTTTTCAATTTAAACTGTTTTTTTTTGTTGTTTTTTTTTTTTTCAAACTCAGGAAATTTTCCATAATTTTGACTTGGGCTTACAATCACCCCTGGTTCACTGTATATAAAATATTTTGAACATTGTTTAATGTTCCAATTAAAAATTTAGTTTTAGGGCAGAATTCACTGTAGAAAACTCATTATTTTTAAAATACAGTAGAACGCCAATTATCCGAACTATGTCCGAATTAATTTTTTTTTTTAAAGTTTATAATACTCTTTAACTTATCGACAATTTTTCTAAATTTAAAAGAACAAATTATATCTACTACATCTGAAGACCATATTTAATTTACATCCTTTTTTAGCAGTTTTCTTTTAGTAGCTATACATACATGTATTGTTAAACAGTTAAACCTACATGACCCTTTAGCCCTCTTCAACTGAAAATTAACTTCCAAGAATGCGAGTTTCATTTGGCAGTCTACTATGGTTGGAATGCCAAAGGAGTTTATGAGTAGATAAGTGGTGAATCGGAACTCCACAGATGAAGAGGAATGAATAGGTGATCAAGCTCAAGATAGTGGACCTTCTCACATTGAAGCATGCAATTCATTAGATATTGCAATGAATTGGCTAGAACGTCAAAATGATATTGATCCGGTGCAGTTGATTTATTTAANTTAAAGGCATTCCAAGCACGAGAAACAACACTTTTGTTGATGTCGAACTCTTCGGCGACACTGGTCACACTACGCCCCTCCTCAAGCTTCCCAATCATTATTCCTCGAGTAAAGTCGTCTAAATGATTTCTTGAAGACATGTTTCACAAAACAATTGAATTGCACTTGCAGCGAATGTCTTTAACTACGGTGCTCTTCATCCTTTTATCACAGCTTTGACCTGCGCGCACCGACCCACAAGGTTTACGTACACTTACATCACCTACGACGTTTTATTTCTAAAATTTGCATACAAATAATCTTTCTACTGAATTACGTGTATATTATACTGCAATTTCATGGCTATCTTATACTTTGTTGGGGAGCTGTGGCCGAAAAATCACTTGTTGCTTAAGTTTTGCACACCAGTGTATATATAGTAGAGCGCCGACTATCCGAGCGTCCAATTATCCGAACTATGTCCGAATTCTAAATTTGTTTTTGTTTTTTTAAGTTTATAATACTTTTTAACTTATCGACAATTTTTCTAAATTTAAAAGAACAAATAATATCTACTACATCTGAAGACCATATTTAATTTACAACCTTTTTCGGCAGTTCTCTTTTAGTAGCTATACATGCATGCATTGTTAAACATGTTAAACAGTTACACCTACATGCCCCTTTAGCTCTCTTCAACTGAAAATTGACTTCCAAGAATACGAGTTTCATTTTGACAGCCTATACTATGGTTGGAATGCGAAAGGGGTTTATGAATAGATAAGTGCTGAAGTTTTACAATTGGGGGAGGGGTAGTTGTCACTTATGGTTAATGACTAGTGATTACAATGCTTGGAATTTTATATCTTGGAATAAAATTCTTAACAGTAAAACAAAACGAAACTGAAGTTTCTGAACCAGTAGATCTTCCGGATGGCCGACCAGGTGGCCGAGTGGTTAGCGTGTCTGACTGCGGAGCCATTGGCCGCGGGTACGAATCCTGCTCAGGGCATGGATGTTTCTTTCTCTCGCTGTGTTCTATGTCCTTTCCTCTTTGTGTAAATGTGACCCGCCCTAAGGCTCCTATACTATCACAGCTGACCTATCAAGCAATATTGGAGCAAACAAGTTCTCAAGTTAGCGGTATGTTAGTATTGTGCTTATGTTAGCTCTTTGCTCCGAAAATAGATGATAAGTCGGCCTGTGTGACGTGGGCGACGCTGCTCCACCGCCGTGACTTCGCCACAGGTGCCTGCTGGGTAACGAGAAGAGAGTCGCGGTCATGGCATTTCTGTGGCCAATGGGGCAAACCCCAAGTGACCGCCGTAAAAAAAAAATCTTCCGGAAAGCAGAAGAAATAGAAGACAGGTGTCGAGACACTGAAAATGAACCAGGAGTTCAAATTTTAAGAGATTATGAAATTGCTGCTGAAATTTTGAATGAAGATCAGAACTCCACAGATGAAGAGGAATAAATAGGTAATCAAGTTCATGATAGTGGACCTTCTCATATAGAAGCATGCAATTCATTAGATATTGCAATGAATTGGCTAGAACGTCAAAATGATATTGATCCAGTGCAGTTGATTTATTTAAAAAGAATAAGGGATACGGCTGCTCAAAAAAGAGCATTTTCTTTGAAACAAAAGTCTTTGCTGGATTTCTTTTGCAATGGAAAATAAAGAAAAATGTGGTAAAGTCAGTAATTGACAAAAAAAAAAAAAAAAAAATTACGAAAAGCTGAAATATGATAATTCAAAATTTAAAAAACAGTTTTAAAAAAAAAATTAAAAATATTTAAAAATTGAAAAAAAAAACTTTTAAACGCGCCAGAGCTATTTTAGATAGTACTGTCAGTCCTAAGCCTAGAAAAAGTGTAAAGGGAAGTTAGTGCATAAGTAATAATCATTTAAACTAGTTTTTAAGCAACTTTCCAATTATCCGAACTTTTCATTATCCGAACCGCGTTCTTTCCAGAGCAGTTCAGATAATCGGCTCTCTACTGTAGTTCTACTGCTACTTTTAACTGTTTATTTTGCAATGTACAAGAAAAAGTAGTTGTAAAGATCAAATATTGTGAACTATAAATTTGTGACATTTAATTGTTTAATTGAAATTGTACGTTTATTTCACCTTAAGTGATTTTTCTCCTATCTTGTAGTCTTTTTTTGTTTTTTTGTTGTCAGATTTGTTTGAAAACTTCTTTTTACTTTGGCACTAATTGTTTGCAGTTATTACACTCTCAAACTACGTTCAATCCAATCCATTGTAAAATTCCTAACAGTATTAGTTTTTTGTAGTTTTAGTTTTGAAAGAAAGGGCTAAGCCTAGCACATTGGTTTCAGCATATTTTTAATTTAATTTCAGTATTTTTATACTTATTCGCCTTTACTAAACTAGTTTAAATTTTTTTTCAGCAATTAAAATTTTGTAGTGCGAATTTAGAAACCAAATAACTTCGTTTGTTATTGGCATAATCTCTTAATTGTTCTATTTTGGGTTGATTTTATTGTAACCATGATATGAAGCTACGTATTAGCACACAGTTGTTACAGTGGCACAATTTTTTAATAATGTTTTGTTGAAATGTTTTTTTTTCTTCC